GAAGAAACATGTCATGTTTAAAATTCAGTCATTTTGCTGGTGTGTACAGGCAGTGCCTAAGATCTTAAATGCACGAGATCATTAGTCATCAGACCGACCTGTTACCACTCAGAGGGCTGCACTGACCATTCAAATGGATTTTCGAAGGAAGACTGTAGCCGATGGTCAGAAATCCCTAATGGTTGCAGAATTCAAACTGAGAGCAGTTACAGAAAAGGAGCAAACAGTCACCATGAGGTTGCAGTTCCATAGGGATATCATGGACACTTAAATAATCACTAACGGTTTGTCACCATGGAATTTCTTGATATTTTATTGTCACATATGTATTTATTGTAGCATCAGGCCAAAACATGGTTGCCTGAAGTCTCCTGTTTATACATCAAGGAAGAAAAACCTGCTACCTTTTTTCCTGTGTTATTAAAATGACTTGTGTCCTACAGCACAAGATGTAGAAGTCACAATATCTAAGTCACCTAATAAACCTGTTGAAAATTATCAGAGTGGAGCATGCAGAGGGAATCTAACATTTGTCCTGTTTCACTACACACCTTGTTAGCTGCCCAAAGAGAACTCTCTTTCCCCCACTCCTTGTAATTAATCAACATAAATATTTGTAGTGTTCACTTACAAATAAGTGCATGAAAGTAAAAGAATGTACTTGATGATCTTATCTAAATGCTCCAGCCAAACTATAGCATTTTTACAGACATAACAGGTATTAAAATATAAATTTTCTTCCTTGCTCTTCCCTGCATGTACAATTTTGCTGTATGCTTACAAAGTTATGAGACAGTGCAAAATTGTAATAGTAGGACTACAATATCCAGAGCTGGATATTCTGAACATCTTAAAATAATCTCCAAGTAAATAACCCTGAAAAAATGGAAGAGGGAAATCCGTACTCACCTGAATGTGATCTGTCCAATTCTCCTGAGTCATAGTTTTCTGAAAAGACAAAATTACTTCTGAGCCATCTTAGAAAAGGGAGAATGCTACATACAGCAATCTGAAATTTAACACACCATCTTACACACTGGCATCAGCTGTTATTGAGGAATGCATTCTGGAGCACATGGGAAACCTCTGCTTCTCATATGTCACCAGCCGGGGCATGGCAGAAAAACACAGCTTAGACGAAGTAATTCAGACAACAATTCAGACTTACACTACAGCACATAAGACAAAAAAATTCATATGCAATCAAAGTACACAGGCAATGTAGGCCCTTACCCAGCAGTAGCCTGAACTCTCATTATTACCCGGAGCTGGACTCATTTGCAGAAAACTAATCACCTAACAACACTCTTCAAAGTGCAGCAGCATTTCTGAATGCCTCAAAGCTCACATGGTGCTCTTGCAATGACAGAGAGCAAAGCTGAAACAGGCCATGGTCTAGTGGAATGCATGGACCATTGCTGTTGCCTTTACCTCAGATCTGCAACATGTCCATAGACTGTTCACTTCAACAGCTAGCCCAGCAGAGAGCCATCCCCATAGGCTCCAGTAAAGGAAGTGATCTCAGGGATTATCTGCAAGGCTGAGCCTTCAGAATATAAAAATACAAACTTTTCTCAACAGCCAAGTCATGAAAAATCCTCTGGAATCATGAAGTCTGGGAAAGGAAACTGATAAGTTAATATCCCCATTCCAATGCAGTTCAGAGCCAAACCTGGGGAGAAACTCAGGATGGGACCTAGTCTCTGCTCTGCCAAGAATACAGACTGCATGAGACTGATCAGCCACCAAGGCCTGAGCCTCACCCCCACTTCTGGCAGCAGTAACAATGATTACTAGTGCCACTTTTATGGAAAGGTACAAGAGTAAACAGGGAGTAAGAGCCTCAAAGAAAATATCTTTGAGATATACAAACATGTAATTTAAATACTAGTGAGATAAAGGAGCCATTTAACCAGACCTCATACACAGCTGAGAATGGTAAACAGAGAACACCAAAGAGCTCTCAGAAAAAGGGACTGTGTCCAGAAACAGCTGCCAAATATACCTTAATGGAAGTAATGGCCAGCTTGGATACTTTAAATCAAGCAAATACTCCAAAACAAAGGAAATGGAAGGCCAGTAAGAGCAGAACACCAGATCAAGAATCCATTCCACTCTGCTAAATAAATACACCTGGATACATGCTTTCTACTCTCTCACTGTGGATGACCGAGCTCTCTAGAATGATGTCATCCAACACTAAAGCTTTGAGATGTAGGACACTGAAATGCTCGATCCTTCCCAGGTCTTCTGTCAGTGGATCTGGCAGGCAGCAAAGACAGATCAGAGCCTTCACTGATGGATCAGGAGGTCTTGGAAGCAGAACTGGCAGTGCCAGAATGGTGTCATCAGATCACCACCACCCAACCCCATCTTCGCATTCAAAGTACTGGGGGGTGGAGGATCAGAAAAAATGCATGCATCTGCCTTCTTCTGTCAGAACATCAAACAAATCCTCTTTTGAACAAAAGAACAGGCACTTCTGGAGGAGGTGTCTCATTTCCTGAAAATTGGCTCTCTGAAGACTGGATCAATAGTACTGTAGGAACATCTGAACAACCTGTTGGGCTCTGTTAAAACTGTTAAAAAAGGAGAAAGTCTTCTATGAACTGCAGATGAAACACCACTCCATGTTTGGCAAATACAGCTTGATAATTCAAAATTCAAGCAATGAAAGCATTTTGCTATGATATTCAGTCTCTTGTGGTCCTTGCCCTTCACAGTCCAATTGATACACCTGGATACAACAAGTGCAAGCTGTTTTTTCCAGAAGAGGCAGAACAAAAGCTTACTCTCAGCTATTACAATCTATCTCCAGGCACAGGATAATGATGTCTGACCACCAAGAGAAGCACCAAAACTGCCCTGTTAAGAAGAAGAGAAATGTGCTCCCCAATGCAGTGTGCTCAAGAGCATCCAAAGGGCAGTGACTTGGCTCAGTACGCTCATGAGAGGGGAGGAGAAACCGTAGTCAAGTAATGCTGCAGCCAGCCAACCTCCAAGCTGCCTCCTAGAAACCTGCTCCTTAGAAAGAATTAATGGCATCTTCTTATTTCTACAAGCACTCAGTGCCAGGACAAGTACCAGTGTATTTGGGAAGAGAATTTGGAGGCTGGACAAAAGTAAAGGTAGTTCAAAGAGTGGTGCAGGAGCTGAAAGTACTACCATTTTGCTCGGCAGTAACAATGCTGTTAGCACAAAAAAGCTTCTGTGCCAGGTTTGGGCCATAGCTATCACAGCCAGGCCACAACTACCAAAGCAAAGTGCCTACAAAGAACCCAGCAATGTGGAATGCCTAAAACTTAGTGGTCTTAAAAAAAACCCCACACAAAACCCCGAAAAACCAAAACCACCAAAAAACTCTTTAGTCAGTATGCTCCTGCTTATTTGAGATGGCTAAGAGAAACTGAACATCTGGAGAGCATACCCTGACCTACCTACACGTGTCTCAGAACACCGCTGAGGATGTTGAGGTGAACAAGCATCCAGCTCTGAGCAATCATGACTCCCAGTCATTAGAATATGAATGGACACAGAAACTATTCACTTACATAAAAAACAGGTCCAATGGCAGATCCAATGCATTTCTATACAATAATAATCACAACAAAAACTTGCTCATATACTATCAATACATTTCAATCATATCAATTATATTATTCAAAATGCAAAATAAACAAAAAGCGTCATTCACACCCATGCCACACAATACAGAAACGTACCTCAACAAATCTCTTGTAAAAGAGGTAATTCAGAGTTCTCAAGTGCCGCTGATTTATGACATTAGGGCAGAGAGCTAAAAGAAGGAAAAAGACATTTAAGTACATAAGACATAGCTGAACTTCCTTGAAATTTTACTGTATAGACATTACATTTTTCCTTCCCCTATTTCAAACTTGCTATGTGGAAGGCAGGATGCCATCACACTTGGAACGATGACAGACAGGCATACACATTGTCAGCTTATCTAAACTATAAACTGTTATTTACACTTTCAACCATGATTAGCAATGCTAATTCTTGGTTCTGATATCTCTGGTTCTACCACCCTTGAACGATAAGATCCACTTGCTGGTTCAGTATGATTCGCAGTCAATGACTTCACACCTTTAATTAGGTAGCATCCTCATGCAGGCACCACCTCCAGTCTCTAGAGGCTCCATTCTTTTTGATTTAATTGGAACCTGTGCTGTTAATTCATTGAAGCAGTTTTGAACATGTTACTCAGGATGTAAACTTGTGGTTAAAGTTTATCCGATAAAATATATATCCATGAAAGAGACTCCATATCCATACAAAGAGGAAGGTGACTATTGTTTTGCTGAGCTAGCAAGCAACAGTTCTTGTTATTATTTTTATTACTGTCATCTTCATTAGATATGCCTTGTTACAACTGCAAAAAACAAGATCTTCACATAGCACCTTGTTTTGAAATCCAGTGCAAAGAGAGATAAACGCAGAAGATAAAATACATTAACTAGGATTAGCATATGTATCTGTCAGTTCTTGCTATATGCTGGTATGCATGTACAGGGAAAGATTTAACCAAAGACTTCATTAGGGTTTCAGTGGCTAAAACCATCTTACTGGTAGTAGGAAGGAGCAGGACCAGCAATCAGAAATGGTAACAGAAAACAGTAAAGTGAAAATTCTTTGCAGCCTCCCTTGGATCAGTGTACACCAGGAGAAACTAGTGTTACGGACTCAAAGGGTCTCAGAGCTTAGCACTCTCCATGCCCTACACATGGCATGCTCGAGGATTAAAAACTGAGAGAATGAAGAAAGATCTCTGAAGACCAGACCCTGGAATCAGAGGGATATGAATTGATGTACCACTGGTGACTGCAGCTTCTCAGTGTCTCTTGAAGCATCACTTCATAACTTGAACTTTTCCATCTCAAATAGAAATGTTTAAAGCTGTTATTTTTAAGTTAATCTTCCACAGTGTGACAACATATCCTTGCCCTCAAAGGACCTGAGGAAATTATTGCAATTATCCCACAGGATATTATCCCAGTAAATATGGTGATCTTTCCTCCAGATCATCAGCTCATGGAAATCACCACTCTTTAAAGAAGTTAAGATCAACATAAAAATTAATAATATCACCACCTAACTTAAAGATTTCAAGGACTTCAGAAAGAAAGAGCGTGACTGCTCTAGGTCACAAAAAAGATCCATTGAACGTTTTTTTCTTTGAGCTTCTAGAGGAAATATGCAAAGCACAGGACTTGGCAGAACTGAGGGATTTTAAGTGCCCAGCTATCTGTGCAGAAAGTAGGAGAGAGGAACACAGATAGACTGGAACATTTTTGAAGGCACTAGTGACATTTTCTATACTGATGGAGCAAAGAAACTGAGTTTGAATCCAGTTTTCTACATTTTATTACAAAAAACAGAGAAAGACTAATCAAAAATGTAAGGATGAAAGGTAAATTGGTAAGAGACACAATGAAATGAAGAGTTCAAAGCTCTAAGGAAAGAAAAAACAGCAAAATAAAAACAACAAAATGGACTTCAGTAAACTCAGAGAACTAGCAGGTAAGATTTCATGTGAACATAATTTATAAGGGCCAAGGACCTAAGAAGAGCTGGCAATGGAAAAACTGGAAGTGAAGAAAGAGACTTAGCAGCTAAATCAGAAGCTTTTATTGATTTCAAACACAAGAAGGAAGTTAAAAGAATGTGGATACTGGATCACACACATACAAAGGAACAGCACAAACACATAAAATCAGAAAACCCAAAGTAAAACATGAGATGCATCTACCAAAAGGCATAAAGGCGAGAGAAATTCCATATAGCCTTCTGGAGGAAAAAAACAACAAGAATCTAATGGCAAGGCTACAGAAGAACTGGCATACATTCTATAGGATATGGTAAACTTTCCACCTTGGAGGTCTTTCAGGTTCCACATTCCATGTATATCAGAAGTAACAGAAGGAGCTCCTTTGGCTTTGGGGCAGGAGGGTGAGGCAGGTGGTACTGCAGAGTCTTTGCCAGACCTTTTCCCTGCAGTTTCATGACCATCTACACCTTACATTTCCAGAATCAAAGTGCTTCAGGGCAGAGCAACTTACTCAAGGTCAAACACCTAGTTGAGTGAACAAGAGTCTGAACTCATGTCTCCTGAGCCAAAACCAATGTTCTATTGGTCGGAGCAAAAGACAACGTCCTAAGCTTTTCAGAACAGGGACCATCCTTCTATTCAGTGTTTGCACAATAGGGTTTTGGGATCATGACTGGGTTGTGCAGCACTAGTGGAATACAAATGATATAGTACTATGAAAGTACCTCTTTGGGCATGTGTTAACTCTTAACCTGGCAGTTGCACAACAGTGCTTCATCTGAACTACATTTCACATCTGTGACTGACTCGGAAGCAAAAAATCCAGTCTGCTCTCAGCCGTTAGCAGAGAGTTCATGGCTATTAGCAACACAGAGGAAGTAAAAATGAAATCTGTTTGTCACACAGGGTATGAAACCTGCAATACACATTTATTTCACTCATGTAACATTGGTAAGATGTGTCTACCGGGGACATGGTGCAATATATTTTTAGGTGTGATGCATGGCTACCACTCCCAGGTGATAACCGATGCCTCCTGAGCTGGGATGTGGACCCAATCCTCTCTTTACACTGCCCTGAGAGCTTGACTTCCATTCACAATGAAACTCCTTCAGCGTGTCCTGGCAGAACAGAAGGTCCCACACAAAGCACACTCTGGGTACAAACTAAAGGAGCCTTTTTTTAATAAAATCAGGGTACCTGAAATGCTAGAGGCTTTTACCCTGGTATTGCTAAGGATTGCCAGGGAATCTGATGAAAAGCAAGCTGTGCATTAGTCTCTCAGTGTATTATGAGATTAGGCCCTAAGTGTGAATTAGTGGAGGCTAGGGCCGGACTCAAGAAAACCTTTTTTTGTTGTAGCCTCAAAGATGCATTAGTGTCTCTTATAAAATGCTCTGTGCCACTACAGATTAGGGTCAGTGGTCCTCAGAAAGGAAGGTGAAACAGCAGAAGCCCCAGACTACCCCCAAACCCCTGAGCTACCTGCTAGCTTTGCTGCCTGGAGCACTAGCTGACCAGAGAAAGAACACAGAGCATAGCACAAGGGTTTCAATCTATGCCTAAAGGAAAAAATGCTCTGATGTGCTCTTTAGACATGTATCTGGATATGATGAATTCATGCTCAGAAGTGCAAGGATGGTATCAGCTTTTCCAATGAAAAGCTTGAAGCTGCTGGCCAGCTTGTCTTGGTCTAGAGCAGATCATATTCTACTGCCTGTACTTCAGTAGACAAAAATGTAGCTGAGAAGGTAAGGGCCTCAGAAAGGACGCTGGCATGTTCAGTCCCCTTCTCCTTCAGCACCTTGACTCTGCAGCCACTGCAACCTCATGAATAGAAGATGGCTTCTATCTTCTAATGTTTAAGCCTAGAGGTTCTTCTCAGTCACAGTGCTATGTAGAGATGTGCTAGTATTTAACACGAGAGCTAAAAAACTCTGAAGGAAAATCACCATGGAAGTAGGGGAAAACAACCCTTGTTAAGCAAAGGTGAAGGAAAGGAATAATCTTCTGTTCTGTTTTAACAAGGAAAAGGTAAAAACATTTGAAATTTCCTCCTTCCAAAGGCATTCCGTTAGAGTTATAACAGTCATTCCTGTCTCTCCAATATAGCATCTTCTGAAAGTGCCTAGCGTAGACTCCCACGAGTCCCTGCTGGAGCTCTCCCTGGTGACTGCCCTCCACGTGCTTGCAGCTCTCGCAGACCTGATGAAGTTTGAGGACAGTTGTGACTTACCTGAGCAGATGCACAGACTGCTGAGCAGCCCTCGTCTGCCCTCTACTGCCCCAAAACTAACAGAGTGATAACGCTTTTACAAATCAATTCTGGGGCTTAATAAGGAAGATTCACACCAAACTGAAATTAAAGGTTAAACCGAAAGGATAACCTGATGGTCAAATGAAGAGAAACGTTTCTCTTAGTTTATGCTAAAAAACTTTTTAAAGACTGCGGTAAAAAGTTCATAGCATTCAAAACTTAAGGTGCTCAGCTAATTTATTACGTTGCTACAAGACAATGACAACTGTTAACTGTGCATTCAATTACCATCTCTTTTCTATCAACACCACTATTATCTCTTTATTGTCATATAGGCACTACGGCCCAATATATTGAGCACAGTTATACTTTTCAGGATGTCATTATTTCCACCTCATACCTGATGAATTTTCAATGAAAAATACCACTGAACTCTGTGGTATACTGGCTGTGCAAAAACACAACAAAAAATAGACTCAAGCATTTCAAACCTAGGTAGGGTCTGTTCCCTCATCTCTGAGAACTGTTTTGACTGAAACTTGCATTTGTAAATCTAAGTCAATCTCCCAGGGTCTCCAAAGAGTATTAAGTAATTAGCTTGCAAAAGCTACAGGCTCGTTAAACCAGAGCATACTGACCCATGTGTGAGAAAAGACTCTATAAAACTCAGTTTCCTCAATTACATACCATTTATGCCCAACTTCTTCCTTCCCCAATAAAGCTAATTAAATAGAATCCACACGCAGTTTATTGGGACTCCCTTGGGACTCAGCAGAAAATCTTCCACTTACCATGCACTGTTCTGTGTGTTAACAGCAATACTGGAATACAGTTCAGAAAAAGAAGAGGTGGACTAATCTAAGATGATGGCTTCTTTTTTCCCCTGAGGTTTCAGATCTTTTTTATATTGGGCCACCTCCTATCTGGCTCTGAAATTTAAGACTGGCAGTTCCAAGGAGTGTTTCAAATCTTAATGGCTGTTCAACACCTAAGTTTTGCTTAGCAGTCAGTGAAATTTACTGTGACTGGATAACAGTGAGCTCAGGTAGTGAAATATGAAAGTAGATTTGGAACTGCAAGAACTGAGTCACATACAAGTTTGCCTTCTCATACCAAGAAACCCTGTCCTCCTCCAGCCTTTCTCACAGAAAGCCACTTCCCTCTTCTGCTGCTGCACTCAGCCTCTTTCAGCAAGTAGGAGTCATGAGTGAAGAGGAGATAGAAAGCAGCAGAAGACTGCGGCATCGAACAAGCCCACAACCAGGTTAGGCGACATGAAGTGTGAGTTTTACCTCACTGCTAGCTTTTGATGGAGCTGCTCAGAACAAGAGAAATGAGGGGGTTTTTTAAACTGTATGTTTTACCTAGGCCTGCTTCCTTTTTGTATGCTCTTTCCTCACAGTCAGATTTACTTCCACTAAAGAATGAAGAAAGAACAGCCAGAAATTCAGAGGAAGGGAGGGAAGAGAGGTGGCAAGAAAAGGAAAGCCATGTTATTCCAGCTGCCACCATTTCCCAATTCAGTTCAAGCAGGACCAGCACTAAGGCAGAAATTCCTCTGTAGGCATTCATCCCCTTCCAAAGCATTTCAAAGGAGACTAAGACAGCCACAGTTTAGCAAAGTATGAAGTCCTGCTCTGAATTACATATGATATAAAAAATAAACACCTACTTTCATATATGGGACTATGAGAGTCATCCAACACTGGTTTTAGCTGCCCCACATCTGGCATCTTGTCTAAATTAGTAGCCCACATCCCCTGTCACATCAATAGAGGTGGACAGCCCTCTCTAGCAAGTGACTTATCCTGTACTGTAGACACTGCAGTTTGCATGGAATAAATCACTCTTGTAAGCATGGGCAGGAATGGGATCTGTATCTATCTATCTCAGGGAACTTCCTCACTGGTGAATGTGTTGTGGAGACCAGCAAGATTTGGCCGTTATTATCGGCAGCTACAACATCTGGGACACCATCACCAGGCTGAGGCATACTACCATCCCACAGAGAGCACCTGAGATCAAAGCTACACGCTCCTCTCCTAGATTACTTTTTTTTTTAATTTCTCAGGACTTTGCATGTGAACAGTTAAATCATTTCACCTCTACAGTTAGTATCATACCCTTGGTGAATCTTTCATAAGGAAAGGGGAACAACTCAATTCTCTTTAAAGATCATAAAAGACAATATAGCCTACTTCCTGGGAAGGTTTTAGATTTTAAATAAATCACCCCCCATATGTCTCAGCTTTCACATCAATGTGCTAAGTTTTTACTTATCCTCCAATAAGGGTTTGTAAGGACTATCTTATTAACTTTTGAACACCAGTCTGAAGATGTGAAGATTAATATGCAATATAGTGTTGCTGCCAGTTGTAATAAGCCCACAATTTGTGGTTAGAAAGCACTTTTCAGTCCAAGAAAAGAGAATTGCATATCTTGGGCTGATGACGGAAAGCTTTGCAGGGTAAAACCTAACGGTGCACCTAAAGGTGTCTGACACAAGGTCCCAAAGAGAAGAAAAAAGATCAATAGTTCCCGCTAACAAACAAAGCAAAACAAAACAGATTTTGTTAGATAACTGGTAGTGAAGTAGATCTATTCAGTGATGTAAAATGTGTTACCTCTGCAAGAGCCTTAAAATTCCCTACCACCAACCCTAGTTTATGCAAAGAATACAAAGGGCTGTGAGGCTCCTGCTTCCCAAGGGTTATCTCTTCCCAGCTGACGGACCCATAACTCAAGAAAACAGATCTCCAGATGAATAATGACTTGCCTCTTATGTGAGTGGAGTCATAACTCAAAGCTGACCATCATGTGTTTACGTAGAGCCATTCTGAGGTCAAGATTTATTTCATATCATGGAAGAAGCAGTCTATTAGTCACAAGCACTTCATTCTTCGACAGCACAAAGTGATAATTCCCATAACTTACCAGCTTTGTTTTTCAATATCATTAATTAAACCCTGAAACTCCCCATGATAAATTACAGCAGAGATTCCTTACTGAACATGGAAGAAGACAAATTGACTTCATCTGTTCTTTATTGGTGAGATAACTCCACAATATGTTGCAATATCACTTACCTGGATCTAGGTTAAATCGGTCTAGGAGCCTGAAGACCAGCTTGCTTAGCATTTTGCGGTTAAATTTATCTGGTTTGTACCTGGACAGGCCTTGATATTGTCTGTAAGCAAATAAAAAAAATCAGAAAGAAACATTTGTGGAATTGCCTAAAGTATGTTTCCCAATGTGTAGATATTTAACAGTAGGTATGTTAGGGTTTGCTAGGTGTTGGTAATAACAGTCCTCTACCTTTCCCGAGTTACAGCAAAAAGCCAACAATACAACCACACAAATTTCCCAGTCAATGACTGAAGCAAGTCCAGAGGCTTATTTTAAAGAAAGAGAAAGCAAGCTTGTCTTTTTTCAGAGCTACGACTGCAACTACTGCAACTACACTGTGAGTTTGACTGTACTGTTGGCTTTGTGACTGACAAGAGCTATTCTAGTGAGAGGCAACTTATAAATTAAAACACACAGGACTATTTCATGAGCACATGAAGGTTAACCACTTGCATCTCTTGTTTTTCTGCCACTTCATCACAGTATTATCTTCCTGCAAAACCTGTACAACCGATACTGAAACTCACCCTTGTCTGCAGCAAAGCACGAGAGTCTGATTGCTACAGCCTCCTGGAGGAAGCTTTGATATTGTTATATTGCTAAGATCTACTGCACAGGTTTCATTTTGCACTCCTCTCTCCTGGCAGGAACTGAGCATCTGTCAATAGGAATGATACCTCTGTCTTACAGGCTGAGGCGTTTGAGAAGACTGGCACAGACACCAGAATTTCCCCTTTCTCAGCTGAAAAGTAGATCTATTGCACTCCATTATGCTGAGAAACAATCTCAGATAGACAACCAAAGAACATACTGCCTTCTGACAGCAAGTTGACCCCAGCTGTTTAGAATGTCAAGAAGTGTTTCTACCTTGTGATGTCTCTGATATTAAAACCAGGTTCGCACCACGTATCCAGGATCTGTAAGAGCTTGCTCTGAAGCTCAGGATATTCTCCCACATAATCTTCCACCAAGTTAGTTTTATCTTGGAGCAGTAGCGGCGTACACATCTAGGGGAAAAAATTACATTTAAAGCACTGTGCCCTGCCTTTGATCACCATGTTCCGCAGACTGAGCACTGCAGCACACAGAAGGCATAGAAGAGGTCCATGACATTGCAGACTGAAACCTGGCAGAGGGGTATCCCATTCCCTGCTGCTCAGACATGGTGAGCAAGTCACAAACCCCCTGCTTAATCAACCAGTGCTGCCTAAAAGAGTGATGTGACATTTTCAATACAAGTATTAGCAAAGCTTCAAAATAGCAAAAGCACTAAACTCCATCATAGTAATAACCATTTGTCAAGAACATAGCTAGAATTTTTTATAACAGTGGCTGCAGCTAGAAAAACAGTCCAGTAAGCAGTAATGTGGTCTAACAAAATACACTCTGTCACTTCCCTAGATAAAGGTACATCAGCAATGCAACAGTTACTTCTTGGGAACAAAGCCTCAAGTGAAAGGCAGCACAATTTGGAGGGCCTTGATAGATCTCCTGCTTAACAGAAGGTGGATGTGATGACAGAGAAGCCTGCAGAGGAAATGGCTCACCTTCTCCACATCTTGATCTGGCTGTAATTTTAGCTTAATACTCAGTATGGCTGCCTAGAAAATACAAAAAAAGTTGTGTATTTAGGAAAACACCACCACAGTGGATAAATGGGCATTATTCCAAAGCAAATTATACAAATTTTTAATGTGTTAATTATTTCTGTTAAATTTTCAAGTACAAATCATATAAACATTTGGCCACACACATTCCACTGAGAAATGTGCAACAACACTCCTGGCAGAGTTGCATGTTCCAAGCAACAGCATACCCTGGAGCAAAAATTAAAGATCAAGTTGTCTGGCAGAAAGAGAGAGAGAGAGAAAGTAAAGTTTTTGGACAAAATCAGCTAAGATGGATATTTTCTATCAATATAATTGTAAAAAACACCTGACCCACCACACCCTTCTGAGTTAACTTTATATATCTTGCTGTGCCTTTTAAATTTTGTAAAATGATTGCATTTTGTGAAAGCAACTCAAGATTTAAAAGACCCTGAAATCAAGAGGTCTTAGTTTTTATGATTTCTGCTTAGCTCCACACCCCTGAAAGTGCTAAGGTTCACCACAATCAGAAAGGTGGTAAGAACTGTATTTTTCCCTTTTGTGGTATCTACAATCTTTGATAAGCCAAGACCTGCCACATTCACAAATTAACTCCAAATCAGTATCTTCTGCAGATGAGGAACCTCTGCTATGGTGAACTGCAGTAACTCAGACTGCAAGAAGAACTGGTTCAGCCACTGTCTATCCTGTCCCAGCTTAGTGATTACAGAAATGTATTAAGATCTAACTGTACATTGCTTGGGAGGCATATAAACTAATTAGGATTTTAGGCAGTTAATGGTGTCTAATTTTTGTAGTGTGTGAGAATACTTGGATCTCAAATACAGAGTAAGCATATAATGGCTTTCTTTAATACAGCGTATTATTCCCGAAAATAGAGTAATAAGAGCAAAGAGCCTTCTAGCGCATTTATGTGTTAGTACTGACGTAACGGTGAACTAGGTAACAAGGATGTTTTATATTAAGTGTCCTAATTACTTTGCAAAGTTAGGCTGTATTTTCCAAAACAGTTGTAAACAGTGTTTGAAAACATGACATCTGACCCTACTGCAGCACGCATGTAATGCTAAGCAACAACAGGACAGAGGACGTAATCAACTGAGTTCACAAATGCCTGTTTATTCAGATGAGGATAAAAACAGTATGGAAAAGCTCTTATCTTCAACAGGTTTCTCTGCTATCTGTGATTGATTTTGCTTTGAGAGAAAGATCATGAAAATGATGGATTTCTTTGTCAAAATAGTTGCATTTTAGAACTGTTATTTGTTAGAATATGTAAACAAACATAATAGAGTAAAAAATGTGCATTCCCCCCAAGCAAATGCAAACCTCATCATTACTCTTCACCTGTAAGAAACCTTTAGAGAAAAATTTAACCAGAAAAATAACCTAAGTAGGGGTAGGAGCACACCCCGAAACAAATTTTCTGTGATCTCTCCTAGCATTCAAATGACACCTCAACTTAACTCATCACTGGAAGCACATGTTCTGCAGACCCAGCCAAGCAACACAGACAAAACCTAACAGCTCATCCGAGCACTGCTCACAGCAAAAGCTGTGGATTACATTCCGTTCGGGGAAATTCATGCATGTATTTGATGCACTGCATCAAAGACAGAGTGTAGAAAAGCAGACAACAAACACACACCATATAAGTTCAATCATTCAATCTTACTATTCAGAAAGAACAGAGATAACCAGTTATCAGTGGGAAAACTTTTTTTTTCTGTTTTGTTTTGGGTTTGGTTTTGGGGGGTTTGGGGGTTTTGTTTGTTTGTTTGTTTAACACAAAACAAACATGGATCACTGACAGTCCAGGCTTCATCCCAAAAAGAGAAATCAACAGAAAAGTTTAACTGACAAAAGCAGGAACTAACATTAATGCAGTGACTGCATATGCTACAAACCAGATACTGAAGAGAAAGGCACATTATCATTTCTTAGCCCAGCTAAATCTTCAACCAAATCTCTCTTACTCCAGACTTTGTAACTATTCCACCTGTTTAGAGGCTAATATGCTACTCTGCTTCACAAGCACCAAGTACCTTTTCTCTCAAATTATCAGATTAACATCACAAAGTTCAAAGTGAGTAATTATTCTCAACTTGTATACAAGTTGAAGGTTGCTACGTCTGTTTTGGACCTGAAGAAGGTGTCTGGGTCTCCAAAGCTTTGGCAGCTGGTTTTATTTTCCTCCCAGCTATCTGTTTGCTGAATTAACAACAACAAAAAAAAAAAAAAAAAAAAAAGACTTGCAACTCTCAAAATCTTGTTTCACCATTTGATCTCATTAGCACCTTTTATTAAACAAGTAATCTATTAGTTTTAACATGCGAGCATACAATGGTTTCCCTAATAGCTTTTTAATGTTCACATACATGTTCAGATTAACCTAATTGCAGAACTGTTATCAAAATGGCGTAGTTTTATCTCCATCTCTATTAACCATACAGGTGACTTAATCAGATGAACATGCGCCGTGCCAGGTTAGGTTTTCCTCCTTTACTGGATGTATATTCTACCCTGTACCAAAAGATGTAGCGCAACAAATATTCATTTAGCCAAATCGTGGAGAGACAGTGCCTTCCAACCCCAGCTGCGGCAGACCCAGCTCACACCACCACTACTGCTGCAGGTCAGAGGATCTTCAAGCAAATCACACAAGCTGGTTTTTAACATAATTTTAACATCACCCGGCTAGAGTAGGTGATGGAGCAGTCAGGCGAACTGCTGCTGGCAGAAACTTCCTGCAGCAGGGAATGCCATCAGCAGCAGGGCAGCAGTCTTGTCCATGCACAAAGCTAAACGTGGAAGGAGACGTGTGACCTGGGTCCTAGGAACAAACAACCAGGCTGGATTGCAGGGTGTAGTTACACGGGCTGGCTGGCTGAACAGCAAGGACAACTGAGATAAAATCAGCGTGTTTACAATAGGAATAATAAGAGAAGAGATATGAGTATCTGTAATAAAGATGAAAGTGTTTGGCAGCTGTGTCTGTGGTCTCAACTCAGAGCTATTTTAAGATTTTATTTTGTTATTACCATGTTTTGAATTGTTTCACTCCACAAGCAAGTTTTGTGTAAAATGACCCTATTTTTAACAGTCTGTTTATAGATGATAAGATCTCCAGAAAAGCAACACCTCATTCACAGACTCATTTTGTAGTTAGAAAACAAACACTTTAATTAGGCAGACAGCATGCTGTAACTGAAATGGTGAGAATCCCCCTCCCCACCCAAGAGACATGCATTTCCCATACGCAGTGTTGCACTCTGCAAGCTGTGCTGGAAGACTAGCCAGGGTTGCTGGAAGCTAGCAATCGTGTTAATCCAACTGCAGATCCTCAGACTCAGGCTGGATCAGCAGGGCAACAAAAATCCTAAGCAGCAGATACCTCCCCCACTTCACCAGCAGATCAATAGCATAAAAACCTAGCTACGACACAGGAACATGGAAAAGCTCTGGTGAACACTAACATATTGTCAGCTTATCATGGTCTACTCACCCTCCCTCAAACTATAAAGAGAACACGTTATAGTTGTGACTGGTGGTACAAGTAGCCTTTTCACAATAATATATTTCGTACATAGAGAGTTTCTCGCACGTAATCTAGTAACAGCCAAGAATTAGCATTATTGCTACGCATAAAAGTGTTTAGCCTATACTAAAACCCTCCTGCCCCAGATCATAACAGAAATATGGGAAAGGTTAGTCCCTGTCTTGCCTTGCATCCCCCAAGTGTATATAGGACAAGTACATGATGAAGCCACAGCCCAGTACAGCAGAAAAGATGATGACCTATTGCCTGATTCAAATCCTGTCAAAGTTCGTGAGTCTTACTGTCCTCAGGTAGCTTGGGGTCATTCTTTGATTTAATTATGGTGAAAGCAAAAATCATATTTGGACATTCTGTAATAGTTTTGATAAACACCTAAAAATACAGCAAAGGAGGGTTGGATGAGGATAGGGAAGAATGCAAACCTGGACAATACTACATTAAATTATATCTAAAATGCATGTAGGTGCATTGAGCATGGAATGGAGGAAGTTACCCAAACTTGACACATTCAGGCCAAGCCACGAGCACCAGACCACTCTTCTAAGTCATGCGATTGCAAAAACAAGAGTATGGAAAATGGGGAGTGTTTTGAAGTGAACACACAAGCCCAGAGCACCCTGCACTAATACCTGATCCTCTCTACTTGTTTTGAATGCAACTGGCTCTGTCTCATCTAAAAATGACTATTCTTTCCACATACAGTACGAAGTGCAGGAAGCCACACAAGATCTTATCTGCCAGGGCATGTGCACTTGGGTGGTGTCTACACTGACAATTTAGGCAATTTTCCCACGGTGGGGTTAGCATCAGAGGAATAACCTTTTGCTAGTAGCACTGCTTGGAGTGATTATACAGGAGAGACACAAATGGTTTCTGATGACTCCTGCATTACTTAGCTCTGCTGCAAGCAAGTTGGGACAACACAAAGGTAAATATGCCTGTCTTAGTGTAGTACTTCTGAACCAAGGGTGAAGGAATTTCTGAAAACCCATAGAAATATGAAACAGAACAAAACTTTGCAGAGGAGGATCCAACGTCAACTCTAAGAAAATCACAGTGATCAAAGCCTGGATACATAATAATGGTAGAGATAATTGAGTAAAAGACACACCATGTATGAATCATTGGGAGCATCTGTTTTGTGTTTTGGAATCACTCATTTCAAACTTGTGGCTAATCAGCTTTGCTCGAATTCTCAGAGTGCATCACTGCACAGGGTATGACATCAGGTTAGACGTTTAATTACTTCCTGCTTAAAGATTATACGATATACACAGCTATCTTCAGGAAGATCTTCAGAAATGAGCAAAACATGAGATTTCCCAGGTCCACTTTCAAGAGAGCATGAACTATTTTATAAGGAGTGAGACCGTCAAAATGAAGTAGTGACAGGTTACTCATAGCTAAAGAATTTGAGGGAGAGAAGTAAAAGTCAAGGTTGGAATATGTGTGTGCACAGGTGAAGGGAAGAGGGAACTGAAACAAACACTTCTATGATTTGTCTTCCTCAGGTCACTCAAATCAGTTTTAAACCTGGTTTAATTAGTCAGTGCATTCTCACAAATGGGTGATCCTCCAGAGCACTGCCCAAGTTTCCTGTGCACACAGGCCACCCACCTTCACCAGATCCTCCAGATCCAGACTCTCTGTATGGTTAGATCTGCTGCACATTCGCACCTCTTCTCCAAGAGCTTGCTTGCTTGATGAGAGCCCAGAAATGCTGGCAGTAGGAGCAGAATACTACCATCTGAATTATTAATTCCCAGCAACACTCAAGCTCCTTCCCAACTACTTCATCAGACAGACACCCAGAGCAGAGGCATCTCCAGAAGACATGGTGTTCGGGAGCAGGTGGCAGAGTAGTCCATAGCCCGCAGGTTGGCTACCTCTGTTCTGGAGTGGCATGAATCTAGGAGGCAATGTGCCATTAAAGCTGTCCTTTAGTAGTAGATTAAGTTAATAGGAAAAAAGGGTTGAGACTGACATCATCATCTTTACATGAGAAACATCCCCTGTAACATTTTCCTTGTTTTTCTTATCGATTATTATTTTTAATTTAAAAGAAACAAGGAAGTTCAAATGCACACACTTTCAAATACAGTAAGAGTTGAACAAGCCTTTGTAATTAAGGTGGTAAATGGGGGAAAGATGCAGTATCAGAGACATTTTCACTGTCCTGAGAACAGCTCAAAAAAGTCAGAGTGAAGAAATCCAAAATCTGAATATCCATTAATGTGCTCAGTCAGTCTTAACACTGATTTGTATTGAGAGATTTGCAAAAATACACCATGTGTATTCAAGCACCATGTATGAAGTAGGACTACAAACAACAACATCCCTGAATCGGTGTTCAAAACATCACTACACTGAAAATGGAAGGTCATGTTGGTGATTGAACTATGCATTTCTACACCTTAGCATATTTGTATTCTTTTAAGTTTAACTCTTCAGTCAACCATCCTTTCTACCAAATTAATAAATTACTTCTGTAGTAGTATGTACTGCTGTCACAAACTTTGAATTCTGTGTCTACAGAGCTTTTTCTCTGGGTACTCCAAGTTATCTTAGGACAAATTTTAACAACTGAATCTTAATACGTAATCCACATTATCTTAATTGAAAGAGCAAACATTAACTGAATTTAACATACAGAATCAACCATCATTATCTGTAGATATTAACGGATGAAACGTTAGTAGAAAAAAATCTAATCTTCTTTTGAAAACAGAGAAATTTGGATGGAAAACAACCAAAAAAACTGTTAAAAATTAAATACTCCCTGTCCCGCTAATAGCTTAGTCCAATATTCTTGTTTAAGAACCAAATTGATGAAGGGGAGAAAAATGCTGCTAGTCACCGATGCAGAGAAGTCAGAGTAGGAGCTCTCTCAGGCCCAAGAATATTTCTGGTTGTCAGAGGCTAAAAAGCTTATTTATTGTTTCCTTCCTAAACCCAGCTCCACTGCCACCTGTTCAGAATTTACTATAAAGCTGTTAAACAAGATGAGAACTTTGATGCTGACTGTGAAAACAAGTTTCACTGTATCTGACCCGAGCAGCACTCACTACTGATCCAGAAGCAAAGGAATTTGATTTTTTTTCTTTAAGCGCAGCTATCTTTTTACCTTTATAAGCTGTTTAAAAAAATGTAAATAAAATAACTCAGTGGACAATAGAGGGCATTCATCCCACAGAAAGACAGCCGCCACCCTTAGACATGAAATATCGCAGCACATTAAGTCATGAGACCCCACTAATCAAAGCTGACAGGGCCCTGAATGTGATTTCTGCTGAGACTTAGCGATATCATGGGGCACTGAAGCATGCACAGCCTGCCAGACTGCCCCTGTTCATGTGACAATGGCTTTTATTCCCGAAAGGGGCCTGCGAGTGACAAGAGTCCCCTTTGTCTTTAGGCTCCCGCATTCGCAGTGCAAGAGAGGTTCATTCAACCAGCCCCAGACACTCTTTGAAAGGCTGAAGTGTAACATAAGATGACCATGAAACACTAGCTTGCCTTCTGCCTACCCCTCATTCTTCTCAAGCACAGCCTGGCCTATTCAGGGCCTCTCACAGACTCGCTTGCACTGCATTACCCCCGGTCTGCTGAATCCCCGCATTGTCCCAGCCCCACCAGCAGCCATCGCCCTTCCCACAAAGCCTCCACCCGGCAGCCTGACCAGGCTCCGGCTCGGCCTGGGACAGCCCGGGTCGAGGGCAGCATGGACCCACAGCCCATGGCTTCGGAGGGCTTCTGAGAAGGGGACAAAGCTGCCACATTTCACCTGAAACCACCTGAGCGGGAATGTGAAACCCTTCTGTCTCTTCATGCCATGCGGGCAGCAAAGAGCAGACCCAGGAGCCCCTTGCAACAGCTCCGGAGCGCCCTGCAAGGCCCCACGCTGCCATACTCCTCCAGCAGCTGCAAACTCCATTCACAAAAGAATGGATAAAAACCCCAAACAGGCCAGACGCCTCAAAACCCCACTTACATGTCCCTGCTTGTTCCTTTAACTCTCACTGTATCAGCTTGTTTTTCTACATCATGGGAGCACTAGTGCCATCCGCTGGCCAGTGCTCCCTGTCAGGTGCCTCCTCACCCACAGCTATTATTTATGCTCCCAAATCAGAATAAAGTTACCTCCACCTGCACCATCTTCCACAAAACCCACCACCACCTGTACAAAGCTGATGATTTTCCTGCCGCCCCCACGACAACCACACCCTGACCTGTCAGGCGGCCCTCCCAGCAGCTCACTGCAAAACTCCGGGCTGCTGCGATTCACAAACTGGTTCAGCTTTTGGCCAGCTCTACTAAAACAAGGAATACAGGGAGGGCCAAATGTGCTTCAGAAACAAATAACCGCCATGGCCACCCCCAGAGATCTCTGGGATCTCATTTTCTGAAGAGATCTTTCTCCAAAACCTCTGCAAGGAAAAGGAGCCTTAACCCATGGGGCAGAGCTGGGGACCTCCATGGTTCACACACCACAGTAGGAAATGCATCAAAACAGGCAAAGGGAATAATGTGCTCTAGAATAAATGCCTGGTGTCTTAATGTAAATACAGCAAGATAATAAATAATGACTGCAAGGGCTTATAAGGATTTCTGTCCTTTCAGGTGAGAGACACAAGAGCCCAAAATCCTACATGTGAATCTGCTTTACTGCCCCAGCTGAAAGACAGGGAAGAGCAGGATGAACAGATGCTGCAGCCCACTGCAAGGGCTCAGAGCCCTAGTTTCAGGTTTTTTGGAGTTAGTTGCTGTGAACTTAGGTATGATCAGTCCCCAAGGGCAGTAAAAGATTTCCTGTTATTCTTGAAGATAATTCTATTCCTCCTTCTGGCAACAAAACAAAACTAGAAGAAAGTTATGGCTGAGGGTAAGCAACAGTTGAGGTTTCCTGTTCTTCACACTGGGAATGACTAGTAAATGAGCTTTTCTGTGGAAGAAAGAACAGAAAAACAATTCCACCAAAAAAAATATAGACCTTTCCAAAACCAGATCTAGAAAGAGCTGCATTTCTAATGACAACAATAAATATCTTTGGAGCCATGAACTTAAAAATCACACTTGAATATAGTCAAATACTACGCTTCCGTTAGGATTTTCAAACACGTCCAAAAACTTATTGAGCAAAAGAGTAAGTTTCAAGCAGCTACCTGTGAACTTCTAATCAAATATGAAATACCCTTGTTTCAGTATTCAAATAAATCAACAAGAATGGAATTCCATGATCTCACTTGGGAATTCAGCTTTACTGAAGAACAGGATTTTAAAAATGCTATTCGACTTTTTTATTTTCCTAAACAAGATCAAGCCTTTCTACACCATCAAAGTGAACCATCTTCCTTTGAGAAAACCAAACCTATGTTTTTTGCCTTTTGCCTTTAAAACAAAAAGCATTAACAGTATTAACAGTATTGTATAGTTTGCTCATGAGAATACTCGCAAGGCTACCAAGACATCACAGTGATGCCAGAGATGCTGCAAGTACTCTAAACCACAGGGTAAAACATATCAAATTCTGGGTTTGGTGAACTCCTGCCAATGTCAGTCACTCAAACTCAAACACACAAGTAGTAACACATTTTTAATATGAGCCTCAAACTGTGAACCCTTTGGTTAGGGTAATCACGTGGGAACAGAGATTTTCCAACTGCTCCTCACTGCAGGCAGATTGGAGATAGCACAGCAGGTCTATGACCAACTACTAAAATCCCTTCTTTTCTTGCCAAGGACAAGGAAAACAAAAAAGAACACAACCATCCCCCCTTAAATTCTCCAAATTAAACCCTATTAACCTATTACTTTGAAAGGTCAAAAAAGGGGTGGAGGAAGGATTCACTGGCATTCTGTACTCAGCCATTAGAAAAAATGAGGTTGAACACAGCCTACTCATGTACATGGGAAGACCATGCTAAGCTGTACCATTCACAGTGTGCAGCTGCTGTGATGAAACGGAATTCACATTGAAATGCATCCAAAAAAGGACACAGACATTAACAGAGAACTAGAGAGCTGGGTAGGTAAATTTATTTGAAAGACATGACCCACCTCTTTGTAATCGCCCTTGTGATAAAGATGACTGACATGTCCAAGCAAATAGTTCCGGTCTGCTGTATGGAGCTGGTAAATGCTAATCAGAGGGTCAAGAAGATTAGCTGGGCACTGGGCTAGTATTCTGAGTACACGGGCCTGCAGCTTCTGCAGCTTGATGCCAGACTAAAAAAAAAAAAAAAAAAAAAAATCAAACACAGATTTAGTAAAGATGGCTACAATTCAATGGCAGTTGAAAATGCAGCTTGTTTAAACAGTGGAATAAGCCAATTCCTTGGGAAGGGATTCTCCTATTTCCCCATGGAGTCTGCAAGCAGAAATCAGAACAATATGATACACATTTCTTTCACAGCATCCAATTTGAAAACATTAAATGTTTGTGGGATAATTCTGGAAAAGGCATATGGCCTTGTGCAAAAGTAAAATATGAAACTGGAAAAATGCCCTCTTTTACTAACACAGCTATTCAGAAATTCTCCCAATTCCCAGCAGAAAATCTTTGAATGCAGCAACTCCCCTCAAGGGACATCTCACCTATCAGGCATAAGAATTCAATTTTCATTCCCAGGCTTGCTCCTGGGTGCAAGAAGGGCAGGAAAGCAAAAGCATCGTCAAAAGACGCACAGATACAAGTATTAATCCTTGTGTTCCTACATGATCATTCTCTTATGACATAGGAATTTCAGTGCCAGTAGCACTTCACTGCACTTTGCAGATAATGTAATGGCAGAGCTCAACATCTAAAAAGAGCCATTTGGGAAAAATGGAAAATGAAAAAACACAAATATAAAAGTATCTTGCAGTTCAGAGCCAAAAGCATACAAAAAAGAGAATATCTCAGTAAGTCAGAATATATGAAGGCATAAGGAATGGTAAGCATTAGGATGTATAATCTGATGACCCAACGTTACAAAGCTAATCATTCAGCTGCTGAAAAGTCATACTGTTACCATTTTCTGCATTCCCGATGATAAAAGCTCCCCACCATATGGCAGGAGTTAAGCAAACGTACGGTAACTGGCTTCTATTTGCAGAACTGGAAGAATATGCAGAGTAGATTACTGCAATTGGTTTTATCCTGACAGCAGGGATGTGAGTTCCAGTGGGAAAGCCTCCAGCCCGGCAAAAGCTGCAAGATCAACGCTTGATCAAAGTGGTTTGATCTGGAAAGATGGAAATCCCAGCTTGAAAGGGGAAACAGAGCTATCACAGCTTCTAATAGAGCATTGCAGCTTCTAATATTATTTAATTTTCAGGCCAGCATACAACAGAGAACAAGATCTCAGTACAAATTTCACACCTCGTCACACCATGTTTGTATGAGAGTACAGAGAAGATGCTGGACTATGGAATAAAGTGAAATTGGGGACACTTGAGGGACATTAAAATCAATTGCCCTCTCCTTTCTCCCAGCTCTCTTGCTCTCTTTTTTTCTAACCTGTTGAACAGCAGGATGCTCTTTTATCCAAAGCTGCAACTCAGTGGTGATGTAATACCCGAGGGAATGCCCTTTCCCCTTCCAATCACTGCTGCTCTCCAGCATGTCCAGGAGTCCTGCCAATGGGTCCTCCAGTCCTGCAAAGCCCCGCCTGATTTCTTCCTTGAGCTGCTGAGATACAAAAACACATTGTCATGTACAAAAAGATTAGTGAATCCTCCCTTCCCCCAGCTGAACACAAAGCTTTATTTTTTTTAATTTAATCTATTCAGAGAGGTAACTGTTGCTATTCAGCCACCATCCGTGCCTCCAGTGACTTTTCATGTCATTACAGATTCCTTCATGGCTCACTGCACCTCAAACCCAATGGGAAAAGCAGCAATTGTCCACACTAATTATCCCATAAAGACAGAGAAGTTGTTCTGTGGGGCAGACAAAGGGGCTTGGGATTTGGGGGAGGGGGAGAAAAGAAGTGAGCTGGAGAAAATGGTGTTGTTAGGAAAATGGTAATGTTGAAGGTAGATAACCAGGCTCAAAAACCTACTCATCTTCTAACAGACCTACAAGTAATAAAGCATATAAACTCCTCCTCCTCCTCATTCTTGTACCACAAACTTTCATATTTGACCTTATACCCACTTCAGCCAGGATAGCATAATGTTCCTCACTGTAATAGGAATATTTGGGGGTATCAAAATAGTTTGGATTTTACACACAAGATTAAAAAGAAAGAAACATCAGAGTTCAAACTCTGTCAGATTACCATCCTACAAATCTGTGTTCCTTTCCTCCAAACCCACCTGAGCACGGTATTGACTACCTACTGCCACTGCATGTCAGGCACTGCACACCTCTGCAAGTCTAAAGGCCATACGAAGGGGCTTGGAACATGGGAAAACTCCATGCCATAAATCTTAGGAATCCCAGGGTGATGTGTTTAGAAATGTGAAGGAATTGGACACTCACTTTGTGAATGTTAATAGGCTACTTACTACCCATCTGGTAGAAGTGATAAATTAGCAGTACTGAGCAATATCTTTATAATGTTTACATTAGAAGTAGTTTCCAAGGAGCTTGGGAGGGTTGGCAGGGTGAAGAAGTGGCATCCTTCAGTACCCACACAGGACCTTTCACCACATGGTACATGTACTGGTGTGGAGCAAGGCAAAAGCAGAGACAGAAAACAAGAAATCACTAACAGCAGCTGCTCTCTTTCTTTTCTGGCTAAAACGCAAAATCCAAAAGATGCTCATTCCCGCCTGCAGCCAGCGCTTGTAATTTACTGTATATGATGGCTCCAATTGTAGCTTCTAATGGAAACAACATAAAGTTTGAAGAACGACATGGAAAACAAAAGAAAATCTACAGCAAATTTGCCAATGAATTTGTTCTTTTTTATTCATCGACAATATTTACTGGAAGACAGTTATTTTCCGTAGAGTCTTTCACGTCTGGAAAAACCACAAAACCTATCGTTTAGGACAGAAACTGTTTCTTTCTCATTAGATTATCAAATGAAGTATGAAAAAGCTGATGACTAACAAAGATGTGACTTTAGATAACAGATTTCTCCCCATAAGTATTTTTCCCTGTGGCAAGAATTTGCGACGTTAAACATAGGGCTCCAACTTCACTGCAAGATTCAGCAGAAGGAAAAGGCAAGCTCTTATCCAACCACAAATATCCAACACAACAGCCAAAGGAAAACAAAGCAACTCGCCAACTAAATTGCACTGTTTATAAATGGCCTCTCTTCTTTTTTCTTTTTTCCTCCGCAAAGCCCCACTTCAGCACATTTAGACTGAACAAGAGCTTTCACCACACCGTTCAGCTCCTTCTTGGGCTGAAGTCAGAGCCCTGGCTTTGCCAGGATGGACTCCATCAGACACCAGGTCCTGCGAGAGCACAAGCCTGCTTTCACATGCAGAGCATCTCCAAACACTGACACAACTGCGAGGAGCACTAACTGTTGTTATCTAGACTGAGTCTTGCCTTTGTACCAGCTAGACTCTGGCAAGCAGGGGAAAAGCCTTCTTCAAAACTTCCTAGCAATCTGAAGACTTCAACTGTGGTATGTATAGTTTGAGGGGGAAAAAAAAAAAGAAAAAAAAAGGCATGAGACACCTAAATCAGAGAGAAAAGAGCGTTGTGCTGCCTGGCTCATCTCTCTGCCAGAGAAGGATTCCTCTCAAACGTGTAATTGCCATTTCCATTTCAATTGATTCCCATGGCAGGGAATGCTCCCTGGGGGATTTCTACAGCCTGACAGATCATGGGAATAGGAAAATTTTGCTGATGCTCAAACTATGTACTCCTTCATTCAGTTTTGGTCCCTTATTTCTAGATACACAGATCAGGGCAGCCTGCTGATGCTTCTTGGTTATTCCAAAACTGTCTTTCCTACATAGGAAATGACCACTTCTTATAACCATGTTCCAGAACCGAGGTCATGCCATGGACAGATAACCACTTTCTGCTCATGGTCACTGATTTGAGACCAACGGGCTGATTCACACTAGTTAATAGACAGTACTGACTTACATTCACACACAGAGAAAGGCAAAGAAGCTCCCTATCATTTAAATGTCAATGGAGCAGACTGAGTTGTATTTAAGTCAACTTCCCCCATTTATTTGAACTGGACAGTTGGATGTAAGCAGCAGCACCACACACTTCAAGTTGCACACAGAGGGCAGGGCAGCAGCTGCCCCTGAAAAAAGTGTCTATGCTTGCTGTGGGTGTACTGCATGTCTGAAGGGTGGCAATGCCCTGAGCATGGATTAGCCCATCTCACTGACAGCGTGATGAGCACATGTCAGAAACCATTGCGGACATTCATGCTGTGCTCCCCACCTTAGAGGCAGCTGCTGCTGTGCCATGGCCTGGTCCCACCACAGCCCTCCTCGTCTCTCTAAAAAGGCTTTCCTCGTGGTTCAGAAATGCATCCTCCAGATTCAGAAACATGCTTCTGCCCATGCCTGCAGCCATGCGGCGCTGCCTGAAGGGTGGGCCTGAGGGGGACAGACCTGCCCCACCAAGGAGGTGCAGCCTGCACGCTCTGCAAAACCATGCGTCTCACTGGGATGACCACTCCAGAAACAAACCGAATAAGCAGAGCTGCAAGTGTGACTCACGGGGATCCTCAAACTCTTCCACCCTCAGCAGG